GGGGAGCTCACAGGACTTGGTCCTCAGCAAGCACGGACTGAAAATACGGCAGAGGCAAAGCACTCTGTCCTGCAATCAGCATGCTCCAGGACCGCTGGCGCAGGTTTTGAAGGTTTCTGGCTGATGCCAGCAGTGTTAAAAGCTCCCCAGGGGGTCTGCGTGCCCCAACAGCCCGCTCAGGTTGGGCACAGTTGTCTGCTCCCAGGCAGGCTCTGGAGGAGGGGGCCGCAGAGGCTACCCCTCCTCTGCTCCCCTGTGGTGTAGCCAAGAGAGCTATGGGTGTGCTCACTTCAAATCCTAAATACATGACACTTGGAATACACAGAACCCAAAATTTCACAGGTAAAAAGAGAGGTGGGGGCTGGTTTAGAGTAATTCACGCTTAGCTATTTAAAGGAGAGTCATCCTCGCACACCTGAAATGATGTCTTTGCCCCAAATGACATCGCTGGAAAGCCACTAACCCTGACAAACGCAGCTCTTTGTCCACTCTTCTAATTCCTGCTTATGCACCGCAGCGACTGAAGAGCCACCCACGCCCAGAGATCTGATCCCCGAATCCAGCCGGCATCTGAGGAGCTGCAGAGGGGCCCGCAGGCTCCCGAACCCCTCTTCTCCATAACAAAGCGATGGGGTGGCTCCAAAAATCCTTTTCCTACAGCTCCAGGGAGGGAAGAAGCGCAGCCTGGGGGGTAACTCTCACGTTTGCTAGCCCAGGAGTCTGCAAGGCTGGATGGCAGAGTGCTGGGGATGGGAAGCTCCCCAGGCAGGCTAAACCAGCCCTCATCGAGGCGCTGCGGAGACCTGAGAGGGTGTAGCTGCACAGGATTCTAATTTCCCTGACCACAACATCATCTTACCCAAAAAATAAGCTGCCGCGACGAAAAAAAGGCACTTTGCTCTTCAGTAATTGCAGACATCCCTCTGCTACAAAAAGGCAATGCCAAGGAAAAATAAACGGAGATTCAACCGTCAAAACTGCATGTCCCTCAGGGCGTAAAGATGTATGCCCCAGGCACCACCCCGGGCTTCCCTCGCGTGGAAGGCAGAGGCAGGGAGACAGGCTTTAAGCACTACCAGTCGCTGGCTCCTCGAAGAGAGGCAGGTGTGGGAAGAACAAACACGACCTGGCACCCTGCCTGGAGAATAACATCAACAGCTCTGCCACAGACCGAGGTGACGCGACGGAGGCAAATCGTACTCCAAGGTCTGATAGGATCTTTTGCCTGACCACTTCCTGGGTTTTCCCTTCTCTGATGAAAAGAAAATTAAGCTTTTTAACTAAAAAAAGGAAGCTGTGCAGAAAAGACGCTTAATATTATTATTCCTCTGGCAAATACACTGTTAAGGGACAAGCAAAACCATAAACACGCAGCTTCCTGCGACACCTGCAGCACTGGAGTCTGTAGTAAGGATTGAGGGACTGAAACGTTGCTAGGAAAGGAATTTTGGAAGTCCACAAATCCTTTCTGCTGCCAATCTGTGTCCATATCCTTTTAAATGAAAGGGAAAAAAAACCCATGGGTAACCCGCAGCAACACTGGCTCTCATTCTGCAGGACACGTGCTCACCCCAGGCAGAGATTTCCCTTCTCTGTGTAAAGAGGTTAAACAGTTTAAGCGCCGGATAACGGGGTGGCCTACAGGTTAACATTTTCTCTCCACCTCTTCCTTGGGAAGCATTCCTTGATGGCTTCTGTGGCCAGGTACCCCACTGCCTGCCTGTCCTGGCATCCCCTTGCTTTGGGAAGTATTTAACAAGCTCCCACTCTACAGATGTTTATAATGTCTCTGACAGCAAAGGAGGAATCTGCAGAAAACAGCACCCAGGGTGTCACCTGGGAGGAAAACCTGCTGTCTTTTCCAACCTCTCCCGGAATACGCAGTCCCAACACACCAGAACTGAATGAGGTCTCAGTTGTTCCTTCAGACGTTCAGACACTCGCGTGTACCACGCTCCGGTCCAAAGAGCGCACGTCGGAACAGCTTACAGCTCGTTCATGAACCTGTGACGACCGTGTCTGCGCCGCTAATCCAAAGACAACAGGGAACGTGCCAAGGTGGTGGTGGGGACGCCTGGACGCGCCTAACCGTGCTGTTCACCCTTTAGGAAAGGGGGCTGGATTCACCCACAGCATCCCAGCACGGCTGTCAGCGCTCAGGATGCTTTATCCACAAAGTATGCCACGCGGAGCCGTGGAGATGGCAGAGAGCATCGCAGCCAGCACATCCCACTGCCGCCGTGCCTGCGTGCTGACGCTGGGCCGTACTAAACCCAAGTGACACCTAAAGGGTTAACTCCACGAGTGTACACGGGATGAGACAGCATTGTCCACGCCAGAGTGAGCAGGATAGTCAAAGCTGTACTGCTCCCTCCTACTGTTGGAAGCACAAGACAAAAAGTGGAGGGTGCACTATCAGAACAGCCACACACCACTTCCACTGGCTGGATTTTCGGGTAACCGAAGTGCTGAGGCCACAGGTTCCCGACAGCAGCCACAGCAGAGGCAGCGTGGCCGTGCAGCTCCTGCCTGCTTTGCCCTAAGCACAGCACTCTGCAGCCATGCTTAGCTCCACGGCGTGAACCAGCACCCAAAACATCCCCTGAAAAATTAAACGGGCGTGTTTATTTACTCCTCAGCCCACCCACATCAGGCACGCTCCTGAGGGAGGACGGCCTCTCCACACCAGGGCTGCAGAAGGAGTTCAGTGTGGGCAGCCTGGAGCTCAACGCTCTCCCCAGGAGCAGTCAAGCCTTGCAGGCGCGGGGACTCTTACCGGTAGGAGGTTGCCCGTAGGACGTGGCATACGCGGTCTGCCCGTACGTCGCAGTCGTTGGGGGCTGCGTGTAGCTGATGTCGGCGGGTTGTCCGTAGGTTCCGTAACTCTGCTGCCCGTACGTCTGCTCCAAAGAGGGTACAAAGTGAATTCGTGAACAGCAGCGACTCGCAGAGAGCGACACAGGCTGGTTCAGTGACAGGCACAGGCTGGGGGGGCTGTGTTACTCCATGGACTGACAGCAATCGGGGCCTAGCCAAGGCTCCCCTGAAACTCTGGGTGCTAATACACATTCCAGCTCAGATCTGTAGGGAAGTTACTGTTTTTCAATGCCAGGACAGCAGGGGCAGCCTCTTACCTCTTCACAACACACCTCTACGCACAGCAAAACATCAACGCCCCCAGCCCCTCCTAACTGCCACGACTCACAGGTACCTCCCGAGGGCTGACCTGTAACATGGGCAGCAGGACTACTCAGAGGGCAGGACTGCACGAGTAAAACAGGCCAGTTACTTCAGCACAGAACTGCGGTAGTGTTCAGAAGAAACCTACTGAAGGTTTCAATCAAGTTACTCGGAATATTCTTCATGTTCACCGGCCAACAGTTAGAAAACCAGGAGTTTAGGCACCCAAGGACAGACCGGCAGGCATCCGAGGGCGTGCCATCACCAACTATCCCGGTTCCAGCTGCTCCCATCCCGCTGCCTTTGCATTCAGCGAGGTCAGCTCCCAACTCGCCCCTTCCCCGGGGCTCGTTTTCAGCCCAGATGACCACTGAAGGACGGCCCCTGCCCATGGCCTGCCTTGATCCCGAAGAGCAGCGCTGCCAAGCCTGAGGCCGGCAGCGCAGCGTGGCTGGATTAGCGCAGAGCTGCTGCAGCTTCACCAGCTGAAGAGCTACCTCAGCCCCGTCTCACCAACCCGCTGGCTCAAGCCAACTTCCAACAGCTTTGGCTTAGGACAGAACTCTAGTTACAGCTCAAGAAGTGACATGAAGACAGCCTTAACGTCCAGGCTCTCAATGGGATTTACTGACTCCTGTGGGAGCCAGGGACCTAAACACCTTTTGGGCTGTGTTAGTCGTGAGCCGGTCTCCCGCAACTCACGCCACAGATCTGAATCGAGAGTAGAAAATCTCTGACCTGATTACGCCCCTGCCTGGGGAAGGTCACTGCATCAAGAGGCAGGAAGCGCTGCAAACCTCCCAAGGGATTTGCCTAGAGCCCAGTGTTGTTGGTTAGCTGTTCTACTCTCACACTGGAGGATGCTGTTGAGGCCTTGACAGCCCACTCACCCTCCACCTTCCGTGTAACCTGTTCATCTGGCAGCAGCTCTTGCAATTGCCCTGTCTCAAAGTATTTATTCCAAATAAAAGTTGCTGTCACCTTGGTTTAAGCTGACCCAAACGCCCAGCCTGAAGGTGCGCTCCCCCTCAACACCGGTGTTTCTGACACAGGGCCGTCCTGCCCTGCCGCAGAGGGAGCGGGCACGGTACGCCGGCGGCCTCGGGTCTGCTCGCACAGGCAGCGGCGGGCAGCGTGGTGCGGGCATGGGACGGTAGCTCCTGCTCAGCCCCGTGGCACCGAACCCAGCTGTTGCCAGAACCCAGAATCAGCCGATTAGAAGCTGCCCAGTAACGCTCCGGCGTGACAACGTGGTGGTCCTGTAACACGGACATGCTCTCTGGCGGCAGGATTTTCCCTTCAAACACCTCTCCGGAGAGGCAGGGGACAATTAGGCTACACCACGTTTGGAGGACAAAAGTTTCCCTTTGAAAATATACTTGGGAGTGTGTATACAACTCTGATTTTAGGAACTTGGGTTCTAAGCATTAAAAATGAGCATGGTTTAACTCATGTCTTAAACATCACCATCATTCTGCAGTCCAGCAAGTGTCTAGAGTACTACCTCCGTGAAAAAACCTACTCACTCCTTTGTCCCACTGCTGCCATCTCACAAATGGCAGTTTTCATAGACCCATAGAATCACAGAATGGTTTGGGTTGGAAGGGACCTTAAAGATCATCTAGTTCCACCCCCCCTGCCATGGGCAGGGACCCCTTCCACTAGACCAGGTTGCTCCAAGCCTCATCCAGCCTGGCCTTGGACACTTCCAGGGATGGGGCATCCACAGCTTCTCTGGGCAACCTGTCCCAGTGCCTCCCCACCCTCTCTGTGAAGAATTTCTTCCTGATATCTAATCTAACCCTCCCCACTTTCAATTTAACCCCCTTACCCCTTGTCCTGTCACTACAGGCCCTTGTAAAAAGTCCCCCCCAGCACCCTTGTAGCCCCTTCAGGTACTGGAAAGCTGCAATGAGGTCTCCTTGGAGCCTCCTCTTCTCCAGCCTGAACAAGCCCAATTCTTGCAGCCTTTCATCATAGGAGAGGGGCTCCAGCCCTCTGATCATCTTTGTGGCCTCCTCTGGACTCGCTCCAAGTGGTCAATATCCAATTTTCCTCTTTTTCAGGTTTTTCTCCTACACTGCGGAGTAAAACACACACCAAGAACCAGGCTTTTATAATCCCTTGACCACAACCACCTTAGGCTGGGACGTGCTACCAAAGTTGGGGACTGTTGAGGCTCCTTGGCGTCGCTTTCACGCCAGGAAAGCGGCGTGGGCTGCGTGGGGAGCTACAAGGCAACTTGTAAGGACAGATTCTGACACTGCCGCTCGGCGTGGCGGGCAGAGCCCCGGGGAGCTTGCTGGAAGATTCAGCATCGATTATAAACCCATCCCGTGTTTTACCTGGGTGGTCTGTGCATATCCTTGAGCTGGCTGCGGTGCGTACGCGCTGTAGCTGTAAAGTGAATTTAAAGACGTTTATAACACGGCCCCGTAGCTCTGCCTTGCGCAAAACACGCATCACAGAGAGAGTTTTCACATATCCAAACGGTTTCTGCTGAAACAATGCGGCAATACAAAACAGAAAGCTAAAGGAAAACCACAGGATTTACAAACATACCTGAGTTAAGCCTTAAACCACCATTATTATATACTTATATTGCACCTTTTTAAACCAGAGAGGCTGAGGCCATAATGCTACTTACCCCTGCTGAGCTGCAGCTTGGCTATAGGTACTGTAATCTACAAGAAAAGAAAAAAGAAAGGGGAAAAAAGGTTAACAAAGGCTTAACAAAATTAACGTCCTAAGAGCACAGCAGCTGGAATTTCCTCCTGCAGCTTGAAAGAGCTGCTATAAACCGCTGGAAAACCAGTTTCAAAAGAGTGTAAGGTAAATGCCCTTTTTCAGTCTTTTTGAAGGAAACAAAACCTCTCTTCCCTTCATTGTTACTGCTGTTTGCAGCAGCAACTTTGATCTCAAATGACCCCACTTTAATTTAACTGCCACCCCGGATAAGGGGGCTGCAGGAGGGTGTTTTGTTTTGGAACAAAAGAAACATGGGGGCTGACACTTAGAAAACACTCCCCCCCCCCCCCCCCCCCAAAGTGGGGGGAGGGCCAGGCTGCAAGTTTTTGGCTCTGCAGAAACCACCACACTTCCCTCTTTCTGTTTAACTTTCAAGGACGCAAACAAGCAGCTGGAAAGTTCAAACACTTGTCCCCTAGCAGGGTTCAGGGTGGGCAGCTGGCAGGAATTCCTCCCCTAAAGCCCTGATCCATGCCAATACCCCAGGTTCGGGAACCGAAATCCTGGAAAACCCAAGCAGAAACCTCTAGGCTGGAGCAGTTTGCTGGCGGGAAGCGCGTCCGCACGGCAATCGCAAGGCTGTATTTGAGATGATTACAGCTCCCGATGTACGCTCCAAGTCGCCACGCAATCCCAGTTCCCGTCCAAACAGCTGGAGCGGACGGCGAGTTCCTCACTCAGACCTCGCCCGCCAGATTCCAGCTCTCCCGGGACCACAGAAGTCCCGAGGGCGGCCATCAGGAGCGAGCTCAGACCCTGCTCACTACCTGGGCTGCGCTGGAGGGAGAAGCCGGACGTCAGCGGAGCTCAGGCAGGGTTGGGCGTTTTGACTGTGCCTGCAGGGGCAGGATTTGAGGAACCCGGTTTGAGGAACGCGGCTGACAACTTCCTACAGCCTTGCGTTATCCCTGCGTTGCGAGGAGCGCCTTCACCCCTCTGTTCCCAGCGGAAGGTGATGGAGCACCGGGAATCATTCTGAAAACACTCTTCATACACCAGAACCTCCCGTTTCTGGAGGCTGCGGTTTCATCCCTAATCAAGCTTTCCTCTCCTCCTCCCAACCCCTCTCTACGCGAGCTCACGGCTTTCCACCTTTTCCGCCTCCCTCCGCTGAGGCTGGAGCTCAGCCCCCGGGGGCACGTGGTGACGGAGAGGGACGGCGACTCCGGCAGCGATTTTTTGGTGGATGTTCATTACCTCAACCTCGCACCAGAGCGCGGGAATGGGTAGCGGGACACCCGGAGGACGATCAAACCGTCACACGCAACAAAAGGACGCTGAGCTGCCAGCCGAAGGCTTCCACGCGCCTGAGAGGCACCGCGCAAGTTGTTAAACCCTGCTGGCACCGCTCCCGCTTTCCCTGCGGGTTGTCATGGTTAACAGTGAGAAATCCAGCTTGTTGGATTCGGGGTCCTTGCTCTTTTTTTCAGTCTACACGTGGCCCTAAACTCTGCTAAATCCTGAGTGTTAAAAACCATGAACTCCCATTCCCTCTCACTCACCTCCCCCCTCCCAGAGCCCCTCGCCCTACACCTCCAGCCACCCAAACCCCCTAATCCTCCTCTCACCCTCATTTTCTGCACCCCGTTGGGTTACCACAGCCCTCCAGGCTCCTCAGAACCATCCAGGCTGCTGAGCACGGACCTCCCCAACCCTCATCCCTGGCTGGCAGAGCCCCCAGCAACCTGCCACCCTCCCGAAGAGCTGCCGGGGCCTTGAATGCGCACACGGTCTTACACCCACCAAACCTCCCCTTCTTACAGCCCCCGCCCCCCAGTCCTACCCGGACACGGCATTTTCCCCTTTGTAGGATTTCAATCCAGGTGTTGAGTTTGCAATCTGTCTCCGGTAATCCCTCTCTCCTAATTTGCTCCAATTTAGATGAACGCAAAACATTTAAAAAATTGTGGTTAATTCAGTTAAAACCGCCTCTGAGCCTCGATTTCCAGTGGGAAATTAATCTTCATCCTCTGTTTCACGAGGCTCAAGAGCACAATAGCGCAGCCGAAAATAGCAGCTACCACGGCAGAGCATTTCCACGTATTTAAGCGGAAAGACAGCTGTATTTTTGAACCCCATTTTGACAATTCCATCGGCACACGTTTCTTTAGTAACTTTCGGGGTTTTTTTTAAACCTCCTCAAGGTGATACCAGTCACACTCCCTCACGCTCCACGGCCTGGGACGCGGCGAGGTCCGACCTGCGGTTGTTGGGCTTTAAAGCCACTTTCAGGGTGATGTTGGTCTCAGTTTTCAGCTCTTCACGCCCCGCTGGGAACCCCGTGTAAAAGCACGTTTCCTTCCAAGATGCTTTACCGGTTTTATTCAAAGAAACGACATTCGCATCGTCCTCACCAGCCACCCGAAGGGCCGGAGGAGCCCTCCGCATGGACGGTGACCTCCCGAAAGAGCCTAACTCGGAGAATCTTCTGGGGCCGGAGCAGCAAGGCGCCACTGTGGCAAACAGGCCCTTAACAAATACCTGGGAGAGCCTCGGCACTGCGATCCCGGGGGGGCACCGGGGGGTCCCGGCCCCGCGCGGGGGGGAAGACGGGCTGGGTGAGGGCCAGCCGGGCCACCAAACCCGAGGCCC